AACTCCTTGCTGAGAAAATAATGTCCACAAGATCTTCCAGAAAACTTGGTTTAAAAATCGTGCTGTTTTGCTTTTATATTTCTCCTAGGGACTAGACGCCTCCCTTGGATGCATGTCACAAATATACAGTGACTTCCTGAGGAATAGTAAGCAGAAGAGTCAGGCAGCATTCACTTGCCTTCCCTCCCACAAGGCTGGAACAAATGTGACACTGATCCTTTATTTAGCTCACCAAACTTATTCGACCTGCTGCCCTCTTCTCAGGGGGAAAATTACCCAGTGACCCTCTGACAAAAACTTTTGTAGTAAAACCCATAAGCCAGGATCAAAGCCCCTGCTTCTGCAATCCCCTTGGTGTCCTAGCTCTACCCCACACTCACCCCAGGGACAGTTTCACCCAGTGTGGGGAACACTGCATAGGTAGGTTGGGGAGTCACAAGCCGAAACGCTGCTTAGCTATTTATCCCACAAGTAAGAAAACACCTTCAGTTCAGGTTGCTCAAAGGAACCTTGCCTCGCATGGAAGTCTAAGAGCAAGCAACATCTGAGTTATAAATAAGAATAACGTGACAGTTAAAAAAAAAACAAAAACAAACCAAACCCTTGCCCTCATTTGAATACTAAGTAGGAAAACAGTGACATTTAAAAATCTCTCTTGGCTCATCTTTAGTGTCTTGACTCCTCCATTTCACTGCATCTAAAGGAGTCAGTGAGTCTTGGCCAAGAGGAAACATTTTCAGCACTGGCTGGTTCTAAGGTTCAGACTGGTCACAGGCTGCCGTGCACTGGGCTGTGTTTTCCTGCTGGGCAGAGTTACAATGCCACAAAGGCAGAACTGGGCAGACTGTTTATTTGTTCTCTTTGCACTTAGGTATGGCAGGCTACCTACCCTCTGCTTCCTGTGCCCAAGCCGGAATAACTCTTGGGCAGGGCCCGGGGCTTGCTTGGGCAGGCCCTCCTCACTCTCTCTCTTTTTGCCAATCTCAAAATTCTCTATTTAATTTTGAAATATTTTCAGCAAAATATGGACATGTCCTAAAGACTTTAGTTTCTGTGACAGAGAAAATGAAGAAGATATTTTTGGGGGACTCCAGGGTGAATTGAATGTGTACCATAAGATCAGTCCCCACAATATCGTGCTGCCCTTTTGGAGGGTGGAAATGCAACTTAGTGGTTGCCGTCGTTCCTCTTTGTGGGTTCATCTATATGAGTGCGCCTTGGTCCTGCTGTCCACGTTTGATTCAAAGATACATTGAACAGCAAGTTGGCTGAAAGCCCCAATAATGACACATCTGCTCTAAGAACTTCTGCTGCAAAGAGGTTATCACTACTATCATTATTGTACTTAGGAGCTTCCACTTACCAAGGAAGAGCATCTCTTACTGAGATGCTTAGGTACTGCGCTTTGCATATGTTATCTCCTTATTTACCATTGCCTTAAGTTTCTGTTTCATTTCACAGATAGAACCAAGAGCTCCCATGGACTTAAACATCTCTGTTGTTAACATTTCATGCATGCTATTGTACTTCATCTTGGTAAAAAGATGTATTTTTAGAGTTTTCTGAACTGCTTGATAGTAAGTTGTAAATATAATGTCCCTTTACTCCTAAGCAGGAGCTCTGGTAGTGTCGTGGGATACGAATTGGACTGCTAACCTTGAAGTGAGCAGTTTGAACCCACCAGCTGCTCCGAGGGAGAAATATGAGGCTGTCTGCTTCTGTAAAGATTCAGAGCTTTGGAAACCTGCATTTCTACTATGTCCTATAGGATTGCTATGTGTTGGAATTGCCTTGATGGCAGTGAGTTTTTTGTTTTACCCCTAAATCCATGGCAGTATATTTCCTAAGAACATGAGCATTCTTTTACATAACCCCAGTACAATGCACAAATCAGTAGATAGTCTATGTATTTTTTAAATGTGTTTAGAATTTGAGTCCAGGCTATTGCTACTTCCCTGCTCCAACTTAATTTGAATGTAATTGCTCTTCATTGTTTCAACTTAATTTTAAAATATAAAGTCCAGAAGTAGGACAGTGTTTCCATTTGTTCCACTTCTAAAAAAAAAAGAAAGAAGCTTCAAATATATCAGAGCAGAGGATCTCTGAAGTCATAGAGCCTCCTTAAAAAACCAAAAACCGAAACCTAACTCTTAGACATTATTTTCCCTTTAGTTTTGAGATCATATGTGTCTGAGTTACAGATTTTCCCCTTTAGCAAACTGGATTCACTTTGGCCCTGCACTTGGTGGGCGTGAGAATATTGACTCTTCACAAAGTGTATCACAGAACAATGGCTTTTCATTTTAATAAACTTAAATGTAACACTTTTTCCTTGGATAGGCTGTGCTTTTGGTGTTAATTCTAAGAATTAATTATCTCTGCCTAACCCTAAATTCAGAAGGTTTTGTCCAGTGTGTGTTTTTTTTAACAGTTTAATAGCTGTACCTTTTACATTTAAGTACATGATTCATTTTGAGTTAATTTTATATAAGGTCAAGGTCGCTTTTTTTTGCCTCCGAATGTCCAATGACTTCAGCAGTTTCTGTTGAAAACATTCTTTCTTTCACTGAATTGCTTTTCCCCCTTTGTCAAAAATGAGTTGTGCATGTTTGTCTGACTTTATTTCTTAATTTTCTATTCTGGTGTATTGATCGACTGCGTATCTCCTTGCAAGCATCACACTGTCTTCTTGGTTGTTGTTGTTGTTCTTGAGTCTTTTCTAACTGATAAAACTTCCCTGTGCAGGGCCATCCTCATAATAGTTGCCATATTTGAACTCATTATTGCAGTCACTCTATCATTTAATCTGTTTCATTGTTACTTTAAGGACTAAGGTGCACCTGACCCAAGCCATGGTATCTTCATTAGCGTCATATTCCCTCTACCTCTGGTCTTGGCCTGGGTCCTTTGCTCTGTTTCATGGTCCCCAGGCTGCAGCCTCCGGTGCTTCTGGTTAGGGTCTCTGCCACTTCAGACAGAGATCTTGAACATACTCCACTTCCAATGGTCCTGGGATTTCTCCCTGTGTTCCTGCTTCTGAGGTGGCTCTCTCATATGCAGGAATGGCTTTCATAGAGGTGTGGTTTTATCTTTCAGCAGACCAAGTCTCCAAGGAAAAGAAGGGAGAGTGATTTAAGTCACACCCTCTAGTAAGGTTACATTTACTAAGGATACATCCCACCTTAATCCGTAACAGTGCAAACTCAAAACTCACTGCCACGAGTGGATTCCCACTCCGAACAACCCTATAGGGCATAGTAGAACTGTCTCTGTGAGCTTCTGAGAATGTAACTTAAAAAAAATCATTTTATTGGGGGCTCGTACAACTCTTATCACAATCCATCCATCCATTGTATCAAGCCCATTGGTACATTTGTGGCCCTCATCAGAGAATGTAACTCTTTATGGTAGTAGAAAACGACATCTCGACACACTAGGGTCACTATGAATTGGAATCAACTTGAGGGTAGTGGGATTAGATAATCAGTGGAGGTGTTGAATAAGCAGTTGGAGATGCTTATGGTAAATCTTCAGGAGATACAATTTGGGAGTCCTCAGAGCATACACATGATGTTCACAATCCTAAGAATGCGTGAGATTACCATAGTCAGAAATAAAGATAAGGGAAGGAAGATATTCAAAGACTGCACTCCGGTGCCTTTGGTATTTCAAGATTTGGGAGGGGAATAAGATTGAGAGGAAATAAACAAGCCTGTGAGACAGGCAGGAAAAGAGGAATCCAGGTGAAGGAAGCGCCACGCCGTCTCTGCATTTGTAGCCAGGGTGTTTATATTCGCTCACACAGCGCCTCAAGGCAGTCTCCTGTGGACTGGCTGTTGGTTTTGAACTGCTCACCTATCGGATTGCAGGCTAATGCATAACCACTCTGCCACCAGAGTGTTCAGATTAATTTCCTAAATTAAATTCTATGGCATAAGATTGATTTCTTAATTTACTTTATATTTATAATGGACCATAAGTTATGATGTTTTTAGGGAGTAATATGTTGTATCTGCATCAAAATAATGACATAAAATTGCACAACATAGTGATGTCTTTGGTAATTTACTCATGTAAATTTCTACATTAGTAGCGAGAAACCATTAGTTCAGGTAATTCCGATTACAATTCCGATGTTTGGATTAATTCATGTATAAACTGTCCTAAAACGATTCCTGTCTAAAATTATAGGAGACAAAATGCAATACCGGCTTACTGAATGACACTGGGCAAATCATATCTACATTTCCAATATATGTAGTGGGAGCTAGTGACATGTCCCAGAGCTTATAAGGTTGCAATTGAGAGTACAGCAGGAAATTAAAAGGCCAAGCATTCTTACGTCAGAGAGGCTACACAGATGGGAGCTATAATGTTATGTTGATCATTTTATTTTATTTATTTATTTTTTAAAATAATTTAATCACAATACATAGATCAATTGTGTAAAGCACATCTATACATTTGTTGCCCTCATTATTCCCAAAATTCGCTTGCCTCTTGGGTTCCCGGAATCCGCTCATTTTCCGTTTTTTTTTCCCCCCCTCCCCTTCCCTTCCTCCTCCCCTTTCCCCCATGTACCCTTAATAATTTATAAATTATTATTGTATCTTATATTACACTGTCCGGCATCTCCCTTCACCCACCCCACTGCTGCCCGTCCCCCAGAGAGGAGGTTATATGTGGCTCCCTGTGATCCATTCCCCCTTACTACCTCCCCTTTCCCTCCTGGTATCGCCACTGTCACCCCTGATGTTGATCATTTTATTAACGGAGAACGTGGAAAACATTTTTGGCTAGAGATGTAGGAACAACACGCATGCGCAAAGGCTTCCATCTGGGAGGCAGAGGAGTGGGCTGGGGAAGGAAAGGGCGGGGCGCTGTGTCGGCCACGCCTCTAAGCAAAGCGCCAGGAACGCGGGCCTATTTGTGACGCCACGCGAGGGTTATACTTCCGCTTCCGGTGGCTTAGTGTCTCTTCTTCCTGTCCGGCTGGAAAGATGGCGTCCCGCAAGGAAGGCACTGGACCAGCAGCCACCTCCTCCACCTCTACGACCGGCGCTGGAGGGAAGGGCAAAGGCAAAAGCGGCTCCGGAGACTCGGCTGTGAAACAAGTGCAGATCGATGGCCTGGTGAGTTGCGTCTGGCTACCTCGAGCCCACGTGGGGAGCGCAGCTCCCCTCGCCGTTCGGCCAGACACGTTTTCGTGCCGCCTCCTGTCTGGGCTTGGGGAGCCTGGGCCAAAGTTTTCCCCTAGCTCTCTCCTCCTTGAGCCTCACTTTTTGTTCCCTAGACACGACATCCTGCTCTGTCTTCTGACGGGAGTTGAGCGTTGGGAAAAGGGATCGAGGCTAGGGGCTTCTCTAACAGAGGCTTGATAGTCACGTTTCGAGACACTTGTTTGGCCCTGGAGAGTCTTCTGGGAGACTAGTAGGTGAGGGAAGTGTCGAGAAGGATCTAGCACCCTGCCTTAGGGCCCTTGAAAAGGGGAGGGTATAGGAAGGTTTTCACTGCTTCCGTGTGGGATCTGACTACTGCAACTTACTTTTTTGCCACCTTTTCAGCACATTACCTGAAAACTCCTACATAATCGCAACAAACTGCCGAGAACAGGACAAAAGAGAAACGCCTTACATGTCTTTAGTGGTTGAGCTTTGTGAACTAGGTCGCCTAAGGCAGTCTGTGCCAAGAGAATGGTCTAGGCCCGGAGGAGGCAAGTATAGAGTGATGGGAACTGTCGTTTCTGTTGTTTCCAAGTAAAGTGCCCGTGTACCACTTTATACCACCTTCGAGCCATCCTTTTTGAAAGCTTTCCTGCTCCCCGTTAAAAATCATTTCCTTCTCTCTCGCTCACCTGTAATAAAGTTTATTTTCTACTAGTACAGGCCTTCTACTTTTGTAATTAGGGAGTCTTCTAAGATTTATTAAAACAATTTAATTGCAAGGAACTGTGTATATGTGAAGGAGCCCTGGAGTCTTGGTGCTTGGCTCCTCATCAGAAAGTGGGCAGTTGGAACTCAGCAGCCAGCCATTCTATGGAAGAAAAGACCTGTTTGATGGGCGATTGTAAAAAATTTAACTTAGGAAACCCTATTGAGCAGTTCTACTTTGTCTTTCAGAGTCACTGCGTGGCATACAACATGAAAATGTTTATGTGGAAACTATTCATAATTTCAATATTTTAGCCTGTTGAATTTGTAGTAAATTGAACTGGGAAGTATAAGCTAGTGAACTGGATGAGTAAGAGCCTTTGAGTCTTCTTAGTTCTGCCATTTATGAGTTCTGAGATCTTAGACAAGCTAGCCTTTCCGAAGCCTCACTTCCTCTGTCTAATGGGGATGAGATGTAGTCAGGCCATAGAGTTGCTGAAAATTTATATGATGATATATAGTTAATTGTTAGTTGCAATGGTCATTATTATTATAAGCATAATGTCTATGGATGGCAGGGTTTGGAAGAGGTAGCAAGTAGTATGGAAAATCCTTAACTTCTCCACTTACTGTCATTTGCACAATATTTTGAAAATATATATGCTACTAACACTTTACCTGCCTCAATGAAGGCAGCCATGTGCTCAAGACTGACATGTCTTTAGAGATTGAAAATCTGTTGGAAGAGGACCTGAAAGTATCTAGTTTACTTACTAGATGTAATGTCTTAAGTGACTTTTGGTCCCAAACCACACCTACTGCCATGGAGTCGATCCTGATTCATAGTGACACTGTGGGATAGAGTAGAATTACCCCATATTTTTCCAGTACAGTAAATCTTAACGGGCAAAAAGCCTCCTTTTTCTCCTGATGAGCAGCTGGTGGGTTTGCATGCCTGACCGTGTAGTTAAGTGGCCCAATATTTAGAGGTAGGTAATTAGCAAATATTTTAGGGCCTTTTCCTAAGTATTGTGCACAGAATGATAACAGTACACCAGTACTCTTGTCTTTGGTGTTGTATGAGGCTGGTGGATTAAAGAGGCTGGTGGATTCAAATTGATGTGGGGCTTCACCAAAGTCAAGAGACTTGTTCACATAAAATTGCTCTTTATCAGATCTTTCAAAGTTTATTTGCTCCATGGAACTGATTAATCCTATTCATGAGATTGATTTATACATCTGTATGTCTCATATTTTCTGTGTAAGATGCATCATTTAAATGACATCTGTATGCCTCATATTTTCTGTGTAAGATGCATCATTTAAATGATGGAGATGCTCCCATCCATGCCCAGCAGTTCCCTTTCTGAGACTATCAGGACACCGTGGCAATCAGATTAAAAAGAAGCTTACCAAAGGCCACAGAAGCAGCTTTAAAGGGCAAGCAAGGGGCTTTGAGAGTTACTTATTCCAGGTTCTTGGAAAGCTCAATGAAGTCTCTCTTAGCCAGAGAGGCAGATACTTCTCTGCTTTTACTCTCTTAGATCAATATTAATAACAGTGTATAACATATGTACAACTATGCTTAATATAATTGATGTATGGATTATTATAAAAGCTGTAAGACCTAATATGATCTTTTAATAAGCAAAAACAAAAAGATTACCAGGCAATTTATTAGATTTCTTGATTGCTCATACCTACTGTATATTCTCAAGTATAAGCACATTTTCAGCACATTTTTGTGGTAAAATTAGGTGCGTCGGCGGATATTCGGGTTGGCTTATACTTGAGTATATACAGTTATCTTTCATGTTTCCCAGGTACCATATGGGGGGACTTCCAAAAGTTCATGGGAAAATTCCATTGTTGTTTTGTTCCATTTTTCCCTCAACAAACTTTTTGAAGCCCCCTTGTACTTCGTATTTGGAATATTTAAACAGTTCCTTTATTCACTATTTTGTGCTAGGTGCAGGGGATACATACACCTGTGTGTATGACTGACTGCTCTGTGTTTATGAACTAGACGTTGGTATACATGGAGTAAATCAAGAATGGGCTCACTCTTGCATAATTTCTGCACATAAATGTTGTGAAGATCCCTCAGACTTGATGCACTCAAATGTTTTCGTAAACCCTTCTCTTTTCTCTTTGTTTGGCTTACTCGTGTAAATTGTCGTGCTTACCCGTGTAAATAGTCGCTTCTGGTTCATAGCGACCCTGTGTACAGTAGTGATTAGGTGCACTGAGTTGGTTCTAACCCAACAGAACGAAGCACTGCTCAGTCCGGCTCCATCCTTACAGTTGTGTTCACAGCTGCTTCTATGCTTGAGCCCATTGTTGCAGCCACGGTGTCATTTCCTTTCCTTGAGGGCCTTCCTCCTTTTTAGTGTCCCCTCTACCAAGCATGATGTTACTGTTCCAAAAACAAAACAAAAACCCCCAAACTCATTGTCTTCAAGTCTGTTCTGACTCAGAGTGACCCTCAAGGCCAGGCTAAGAGGATTTCCAAGGCTGTACATCTTTGCAGCAGCAGAAGCCAGTCTCTTGCTGTGGGGCAGCTGATGGCTTCCAACTGCTGACTTTTGAGTTAGCAGCTGAGTGCTTCATTACTGTACTGCCAAGGGTCCTTTAGAGAGAGAGGAAATAGACATAAGAGCTAAATATTGCCATCCAGTTGACTTGGGCTCGGCAACACAGCGTGTAACAGAACACCACTGGTTGTGCGTCATCCTTGCATCCCCGTCGTGGCAGCTGGTGTGTCGTTCTGTCTCATGCAGGGTCTTCTCCTTTCTGGCTGACCCTCTACTAAGCATGATGTCCCTTTCCAGGGATTGTTCTCCCTGCCAACTTGGCCAAAGTAGGCGAGACAATCTTCTCGCTTCTAGGGCATTTTGACCTTTCTTTCTCCAACACAGACCTATCTTCAAATTCTTACTTTCTCATTAATAAGGACCTTGGTTAGTCAAGTGATTTTATCTTAGTGGGCCTCACTTTTATCTTTTTCCACACAGGCATGAAGATAAAGTGTTTCTAAGGATTGTGAGAATTAAATGAGGTACATAAAGTGCTGAACATGGTACCTATTGCGTAGTAAACATCCTCAGTTAATCTTTCATCTTTAAAACATTCACTTCATGTGAGAGTTCAGATCTGTTAACTCCATCCTTGGATGTCTTCAGGGACTTTCCACTGAATTTACAGTTGAAGAGCGAGTCCTTTTATTTTTTACTTTCTATCCTTGGTAGGAACAGCACATTCTTGCACTTAGGGCTGTGGGGCTTTTTCACAGAATGAGCTCTTCCCTTTGTTCATGAAGTTCTGTTTGTAATTTCTCTCTGGTTGGTGTATATGGAATTAAAGATGTGACTTATCTACTTACCTCCTTCCCTTTAGTTTTTTTACATCAAATATACATACCTTTATCTTCTTCCCCCACTTTCTGTGTTCTGTATAGTTGATTTGGAATCGGTATACTCTAGATGTGTTTTGTTTTTAATTTATTTTTTAATAAATACTTACTGATTGCCTGCCATATAGCAAATTTAGTCATGCTAGATGCTGAAAAGGAACCGTGGTGGTGTAGTGGCTATGCATTGGACTGCTAACTGCATGGTCAGTAGTTCAAAACCACCAGCTTCTTTGTAGAAGAAAGATGAGGCTTTCTACTCCCTTTAAGAATTAAAGTCTCAGAAACCCAAAAGGAAGTTCTGCCCTACCCTATAGGGTCTCTGAGTCAGAACTGATGGCGGTGGTTTCATTGAGGTGCTGGGAGTGGTTTGGTGAGCAAGCTGTACAGCCTCTTTCTCATGACCACTCAGCCTCATCTAGACATGGAAAAGCCGGAACGCCATAGTTAGCCCGATCTGTAATTGTGTTTGTCCTTGGCACTTTGGCATCGGCCAAGCCCAACTCTTGTATTCTTGCATCTTTCCTTCCCTACTTTTGGTCTCATTTTATCTCCTCTTCTGGGTCTTTATTATTCCCTTTCTTCCAACTTAATGAACTTAAACTTCAGCTTATTCTTTTTGCTTTTGCCCTAACTCTATTTTATTCTTAGATCCCTTTTTCTTTTCTCTTGAAGTCGATGGTTAAAAAAGCCTATAATTTAGTCTTTGGCCCCCACCCCCCAGAACTCACTGTAAAACCCAGCACCACCAGTTCTTTGAATCAGGATTTCTAAAAGACCCCTGAGAACATTGGCAAATGACTTTAAAAAAAATCAAATATACATGCAAAAGTTCCTATAATATAAAATATAA